CGGTACGTTACGGTACGTACGTACGTTACGTACGTACTAGGTTCTGTACTACGTAGNGTAGTAGTAGNGTACTCGTGNNGTNGTACTAGCTGNGAATGATCTGGTGCTGTTCAGTTACAAGGTGTGTAGAAGTGATCCTGGTGCTGTTCAGATACAAGGTGTGTAGAAGTGATCCTGGTGCTGTTCAGATACAAGGTGTGTAGAAGTGATCCTGGTGCTGTTCAGTTACAAGGTGTGTAGAAGTGATCCTGGTGCTGTTCAGTTACAAGGTGTGTAGAAGTGATCCTGGTGCTGTTCAGTTACAAGGTGTGTAGTGTAGGTGTGCCCATGCCGCACCTTGCTGTTGAGAACGGGATCGAAAGTCGTGACCGATTCTGCGCTGTCCAGGCTCGCAGGGTTGCTGTCTCTGCACAAAAGTGTTGCGCGAACTCCCATGTGTTTAACGTGTTTGCGAACCTTCTAGTTTCGAGGGCTGCCAAGTGAGTGGTCGTACACCGGATAGTCCACTTCCTATCCGATATAGTCGCCCGTGTCACGTTGCACGGTAGATTTTCCCCTGTGTACACACGCACTTCTTCTCGCTTCCTATGCCTGTTTAGTTCATATACTCAGGGCACCAGGGTTGTCTGACGCTCCCTCTGACGCATGCGATCAAAGCTATTGCCCTTTACCCGTCTTTTTGTATCACTCCTTTAGCCTAGACCCACAGTTTATAATAGCACGCTCGTCTGCATATGCTCACACACCACTTTCAACTCACACTCAATAGCTGCTATACCCCGAGCACAAAGGATTCTCGTGATAGCACCTCTTATATACACCACCCCCCAGACACTCCTCCCCACACCCTATTCCTCGGCACAGCTGCTACACCCCGAGCACAAAGGATTCTCCTGATAACACCCTCTTATATACACCCCACACACACACACCTCCCCACACCCCATTCCTTGGCACAGCTGCTATACCCCGAGCACTTCTACATGGCCCGAGGCAACCACGAGAGCACCAACATGAACAAGATGTACGGATTCGATGGCGAGGTCAAGGCCAAGGGATCGGATATCATGGTAGAGCTGTTCCACGAAGTGTTCAGGACGGTGCCTCTGGCCCATTGCATCGCCGGCAAGGTGCTGTGCGTGCACGGAGGCCTGTTCAGTGAGGACGGGGTCACCTTGAATGATTTGAGGAAGGTTGATCGCTTCCGCGAGCCCCCAGATTCAGGTACGTAGGGGCTCTGTATGTACCAGTTAGAACATACTTGCACATGTACCCAACGCGTATACGTACACGCATTGCCTGAGCGTCTATCACGTGACATGCCATTGTGCTGCAGGTGGGGCTAGCGTAGTGACCGAGCCTTCACAGCAAGTGGCCTGTGCGTGCTTGTCTGGTGGCTCACAGCAAGTGGTCTGTGCGTGTTTGTCTGGTGGTTCACAGCAAGTGGTCTGTGCGTGTTTGTCTGATGCTTCACAGCAAGTGGTCTGTTCGTGCTTGTCTGGTGGTTCACAGCAAGTGGTCTGTGCGTGCTTGGCTGGTGGTTCACAGCAAGTGGTCTGTGCGTGCTTGTCTGGTGGTTCACAGCAAGTGGTCTGTGCGTTCTTGTCTGGTGGTTCACAGCAAGTGGTCTGTGCTTGCTTGTCTGGTGTGGTGCATGTTGCTGTATCCGTATGTACCCACACCTTAGTGAGCAATAGCTCTTCCGCAAAGCCGTCAGACTGACACAACTGTCTATGTCATGCACAACCCTCTCTGTAGTCGGCATGTGTCCTTTTATGCCAACTCAGCGATCATGTGTTCGCTGACATGTGTGTGCGCAATGCAATAGCCCGATAAGCGGGGATTCAGGTTCCTTCTAGCTTTGTGTACTTCATATCGCCAGTATAGATTTTGCGCAAGTATTTACCCCCTGGGATTGAGGTGCCTGACCAATCAAGTATTGTGTTTGTTATCCCAAGCTTTTGCTATATATATATATATATATATATATATATATGTGTGTGTGTACGTATGTATGTATAAATATATATATATGATGGATATTTTATTAGTATCTCTGTGCGTAGTAGTCTAGGCTATCTATACGTCGATTGCCTCATTCTCCCATCATTGTTTTATATATATGTATATATATATTCAAAGTATTCACACATTTGCGTGGCATGTACCTATTTCTTTTTTCAGGACTCATGTGTGAGATGCTGTGGGCTGACCCTCAGATCTTGCCTGGTCGTGCGCCGTCCAAGCGTGGTGTGGGTCTGCACTTCGGACCTGATGTCACAGATGCATTCTGCAAACTAAACGGTCTAGGTATGGGAAACTCACTGGTGAACTGCGATGTATACGTTATATGTTATTCAACCATACACTGTCTAGTTCTGTGTGGCCTTGGAATATGTATGCACTTGTTAATTAACGCTTACGTATATATATATACAGAGCTCTCCCAATGCAATTATCTCAACACTTGTTATAACAATATTTTATTGAACTCACTCTGTCTTTGGGTCACAGATTATGTGGTACGTAGTCACGAGGTGAAGGACAACGGATATGAAATCCACCATGACGGCAAGTGCATCACCGTCTTCTCAGCACCCAACTACTGGTATGTCTTGACACCTATTCTCGCTATGGGCATATATACAAACACATACGAACACATTCACGCACATGCACGCACACACACACACTCACACTCACGCGCGCATGTATTCTGATACATTACTCAGTATTTGATAGACTGTGACTCAGTGGCCCATGCGCTGCGTGGATCCTGCCCAGCAGCACGCATCGCGCAGTACGTCATCAACAGTCAGATCAGGGATGTCTCCCCCCAAGTTGCCAGTATACTCTTTATCTATTACGGTTGCACGTGCCCAATCTCAATGAGAAGCTCTCGTGTTTTAGACTTGTCGTATCGTACACGACGCATGCTCTGCCTCACACGTTGCCTGGCAACGGTTACTAGGCAACTACGCAACCGCTGCCTATGTTCCATATAGGTAGCGGGTCTCAGAACGCATGTGTTATCTAGTGCATATCCATCCTCGTAAGTTTCTTTTGCGGTAACGGCCTCTCCATGTCGATTAGCGTATCAGTGACATGTAAGCTATCTCATATACGGACTTTGCCATGTGAGCTATCTCATATACTGACTTTGAATTAGAATTAACTCTACCATTGGTTGATACCTACAGTGATCAGATGGGCAACAAAGGAGCTTTCATCACGGTCAGGGGCGATGACTTCACGCCCAAGTTCACAACGTTCGGGTCTGTGGTATGTGCTACACTCAGAATCACTATACAGACTGGCGTAGGCGCAATTATAATAATACGTGTGTTGCGTATCAAACACAAGATGAATGGTACATATTTAAATGTGATTGGCCGGGCACCATGGTATAGTTGGGTAGAAGAATGTCTTTCCTTTTATCGGGGCGTTGTAGGTAGTCGCGACAAGAGTCATTGAACCGAAACATTGTGTGTAAGCTCGCTTGGTTTTGGTATAGTAAGCAAGATTTATTGTGCATGAGCATATATTGACACGCGCATATACTGAGAATTCTGAAACAGTAGTCAACATCAAGCGCTCCAAGAGGTTACAGCAGGATCATATACTCTCGAAATGATTTTCTCATTGCTACAGGCCAGCACAATGACGCATGTGTTCACAGGTTACTATTGATTCGCATAACAAGTTTGTCCTCATCGCAATTGCACGCGAGTATTTGCCTATTTTTAGCCCCATACTCTTGAACTAATTGTCCTCACACACCCCATGACCCATTGTTTTCCTTTGTCCTCCTACCAGCCGCACCCCAATGTCAAGCCCATGGCGTACGCTTCACCCTTTAGCATGTTCGGATTATAGTGCGCAAAATCGTTTGGTGTCAACGCAAAATAAATGGATGTCACATGTCAGCTCATAGCCTAAAGACGTCAACCTGTCAACGAGACCTGTTGACGGGCAAAATGTGATATTACACAGCGCGAACAGACGATCCGAATCAAGTAAAGCATTATGTATTCAAAGTGTTTTGAGAAAGGGATAGGAGGAGGGGGGGGGGGTCTATTTTAAATCGCCCTGGTCGCGACTTATATTTTACGTTTCGAAAATCAACAACAACACCACATGTAATTTTACCTCTACAGACACTACTCAATACAGTCCGCTATCTGGTTGTGAGTACAAGTAGATGAATTTAAATTGAAATTGGAGCGAATTTAGACATCGCATACAATTTATTTCTATTTAAGTGCTGTAAATAACTACATTGGGCTTTTGAGGCTGCCTGTGACTTTCCGGACTTGCTTATGTCGATAGTACGGAAACGGACTTGATGTTAATACCGGGGGGGGGGGGTGATATCGAGATTTTTTCTCAACCCAATTCGCTTGTGCATTATTTTACACCGTCATTTGGTCTTCCACTCTGACAGGCTTTTCCACTCATAACTTGCACTATAGCCGACGACGATAGGTATTCATCGTGCGCCGTATCCATATCATCCAGGTGCGGGTTAGCGATCCACAGCATGACAAGTTCATCAAGGTTTTCAGTATAGAAGGATTTGAGTAAAAATTACAACATAGAATTATGTATCAGTCCTCAAATGAAAAGCAAAATGGCAGCCACTTACCTTAGTGAACACATCCGTGAGCCGCGCGTGTTCCATCTGTAAGGCATTGATCATAGCGGCTGGATACATGACGCCAGCAGCATTGAAGGTATGATGTATCAATGGGCCTCTCACAACAACCTCTTCAGAGCCTTTTAATTATCTGCCCATCAAACACGAATATTGGTGTGCATCCAAGATTGTTCGTACACTGTTGGCTATATGACGTAAACACATTGACAATCGCCTCTGTCAATCCGTTATACCACCAGAATTGTGAACGTGAATACTATTTGCAATCTCTGCCGCACTCCTATAATTTTTGCACGTTCTAGCTAATGCAACACGTATAAGGAAAGAATCATCTGTAATACAGTGTTTTTCCTCAGTATGTGGTCGTATTTTTGATATATGTTCGCCCTTTTGACAAAGTTTAGTCACCGATACCCCGTCCACCAACACTTCTTGGCGTAGACCCTCGACACCTATCGTGATAGCTACTTACAACTACTATGTGTCTCACAAAAAGCGAGGTTATATAAAAGAATTTCAAAAACACGCGTAATGTTAGATAAGAAAATAGGGCTACGCCCAATTTATTTATTTTTGAAAGTTCGGTATTTTTTGGGGCTATTAATTTTGGCTGACTTTCCGGATGACCGGGGAGTCGGGACTATTTGTTTTTATATAAAAACAAATACAAGAATAATAATAAAATTCGACTATGTATGTACTACTATATATATGTCTAATTTAGAAGGCTATGTTCAAATGTAAAGTTAAATGAATCCGTTGAATTTAAAATAATAAAAAAGGACAGCTGTAAGATAGCAAGTCTGTAACTCATATATACCTCTAAATATATGCCAACTTTCTCAACGATAGGACATCATTTTGAGCGCAAAATTATTATATTTATATTTATTGGCATCGAATACCATTTCATCATATTCTTTATGACTTCATCTGATGATCTCTAAATAACACAATAAAAATGACATGTATGTAAAATTTTAAATATTGAGTGTAAATATTTAGATTTTACAGTTAAGTGCCAGCCGTGTCGGCGTCGCACTGTTTGCCGTTTGGACTTGTGGGCTTATGGCATACCACATAATTGCATGTGGCCAATGGCCATGTGCTGATTTCAGGAGATGTGCATGGTCGTTTTTTACAAAAAAAATATAGTTATAAAAGCACCTGACTTGGAAAAAGACGATGGTCGGAATTGTTTCCGCCTCGTCGGCATTGTTCTAAACATGGTTTTATTTCCGACATGTCGGACGACGGTCGGAAATAGGCGGTCGGAAACTATGACAAACAAAAGTTTTCTAAACCAATCATATCATACGCTCGATAAAACTTTAAACACACACCCATGATATATAAATCTTTATCATTCAGCAATATAGATTCACTGTAGGTTAAGAACAGTGAATACTGAAGTCTGAACAGTGAACACTGAACACTGAACAGTGAACTCTGAACAGTGAACACTGAACTCTGGACATAGTGAACAGTGAACAGTCAACAGTGAACAGAGAACCCTGAACCAGTGAACAGTGAACTCTGAACACTGAACACTGAACACTGAACACGGAACAGTGAACAGTGAACAGTGAACACTGAACAGTGAACAGTGAACACTGAACACTGAACACTGAACACTGAACACTGAACACTGAAAGTGAACACTGAAAGTGAACACTGAAAGTGAACACTGAACAGTGAGAACTGAACAGTGAACAGAGCCGATTGTTCGTGACTTTGTGAACGTAAAATTGAAATTTGAAAATTAGACAATGAAAACTAATAAACTTTACATAGAGCTGTCTACAAACTAGATATATCAGAATAGCAAGTAACAGTGCACAATAAAAGCCACATGATAGTCATTACGGCTCCCAGAGTGTACGGTAATCTTGGCAGGAAATCATGTCCTTCATTCGTGTACTTTAAATTTAAAATAGTGAAGGAAGGAGGGATGAACGTGACGCTGTTGCAATGCAATGCATGCGAGTCAACGATGTTAAAAGAATCGAGTGCAGAATGCAGACGAAGGCTCGTTATGTCTTGCTCAAAACAGAGCGCTGCAGTCTGCATTGAATATAGAGCAATAGTGATGAATACCGCGCCTCATGTCTCAACGTTAGCAAAGAAATCGTATGCAAACAAACGATCAACCGTGACTATTGATCTGAATGCTTAGTGTTGTGACGGGGATGATACTAATTGTACACCCCCTGTCAAAAAACAATGTATTTTAGAAGATGTACCTATGTTCCCAATGAAAGGAATGCATAAGAAGTTCAAGGCGTCCTATCTTCCTGGAGACATCAAGTCTGGGGATAAACTAGATTCGGCACTGACAAAATTCTTTGTACGACACGGGCTTGCAAACAGGGTACTAGACAGCCAATACTTCAAGGAAGTACTGAGTGCAGTACGCGCTGCACCAAATCACCCAATAATCAATAGACACAAGTATTCCGAAATATATGTACCTCTAGAGACGAAAAAAGCTAAAGAAGAAATCACAACGTTGTTTGTTAAGCTAATGCCAGTAACGAGTGCTACAATTTCGATAGATGGTGCCACAGTGCACCAAGAACAACTCATGAATGTGGTTACTAAGTTGGCTGATAGGTACGACCCCATCATGTGGGTATGTTTAATTCCAAAAAGTACACTTTTGATGGTATAACAAAAACTGCTAAATGCCATGCGGATATGTTGGTAGATATTTTAGACACATTGCCGTTTGAAAGACAGTATGTGTTTCTTATAGTGACAGATACTACTGGTAATATGACCTCAGCCTGACCTATTGTCGAGAAAGCGAGACCATGGATATCATGCAGCCATGACTCAATGCATGTTATGCATTTGGTCATGGAGAAGGTCTGTGCTGTGCCTATAATAGCAGAAGTACTGGATGAATGCGACATTGTAACAAAACTATTCTGGTCATGTCCCATATTAATGGCTTAGATAGATGAATTCACATCCGCAGACCGTCAAAGTACGCCTCTGCAAGCTGATATACATAACTTTCAGGATAATTTAGCTACGCACGGAAATATGTGGCGTACATAAAAGATAAGTGCTCAGATAAGAAATTACAAGCAATGATTCGACGATACCAGGATGTCAGATCGTGGGTTAGTTCGACACCCTGGTGGGACAAGATACAAACCATACTTAACATCATGTCCCCAATCCTTGTACTACTCAGATTGGCAGATTCTAATAAACCCACAGCATCAAAGATATCTGCGGCTATGCGAAAAGCGGAGAGTATATGGACAGCACTTACTAGAGGAACGGGGGAAGCCAATGATGTCGCCGAATTAATATTGGCCACGCTTAACAGTGGCAAGCGCGGTAATTGGAAATTTGTACGAGATGATACATTTTATATTGCAGCGGGTGCTCTTGATCCGGCATTTATTGATGAGACAACGATAGGACATTATTATGTGCGCAACGCGGTGCATACGATATTGAGGCGTGTACTAAATGTGGCTCCCAAGGAGGGGTATCAGGAAGCTTTATTTGTCAAGATTATACAGGAGCTATCAAACTACTTCTACAGGCGTGGGGACTATGGTGTAGGTAGTGAGTGTTGGAAAGAAGTGAGCGAAGGTAGTATTGTACTTGACTGGTGGCAGGTATGGGGCATTAATTGCCCAACTGCATTGAAGTACGCTATACTGTAAAATTCGGTCTATCAAGGCTATATTAACGCCTTAGAGTAATTAAACGCGTAGGTACATTCTAAGTATCGTGAAAATATCAAAGTAAATAAACGAAATAAGACTTTTAGTAAAGTTAGGTATGCCTCGTTGTAAGATTCGGTCTAATAAAGGCGATACTAATGCCTTAGAATAAATAAACGCGTAGGTAAATTCTGTATATCGTGTAAATAACGATATAAATAAACGAAATGAGACGTTTAGTAAAGTTAGGTATGCCTCGTGAAAACAGCAATACTCTGCGGGATTGTGAGGCTGAGACATTGCCTATATATAATCCTCTCAGTACTGTTTCCGCCGAAGGGATTTTATTTAGTGTTTCGTTATCGCTCTATTAGAAACTATGGTATGTTTCATTGGGGCGAATCTGAGAGACTCATAAAATCCTCTCTTTAGAAGAAAAGAAAAAAATACATTTGATGTCCTTAGTTCTTGTCTTAACCAATAACTTGCCACTTATCAAGAATTAACGACTTAGCCTTCATCAGACTGGCACATCTGGCTGGCGGATCGGAGGATCAACTAGGTAACGTTAATAGTCCCTAGAAACCTATATTCGGTTGAGCCATCTCGCTACCGAAGTATTCAGATCTAAATAAAGATGGAAAGTAAATATAGTTATATTAATAGAACTAAACCAACTCTTATGTTTGGTATTTTACTGGGGCCTTTTAATGGCCTCGTCCAAATATATGATATGTAAAATGGAAAAGGTATTAATTAATAAAACCATTAAAAACCATTTAGGAAACTTAAGTTCCTCATACTATTAAGAGTACGTTTAGGAAACTTAAGTTCCTCGAACTGCTTAAGAGTACGTTTATACATAGAGTCTAATGTGGAGGCCCGGCTTATTACACAGCCCCCACCCAGCTTTGAGACCCAAGAGAAGCAAGTTGCTCACTCAAGCTGATTATTGGTCAAAAAGGGAAAAACGGGTCGAAAACGTTAAGTAGTATAACATATAGTTAATGTTTCTCAGGCGGAGAAGTTAAATGTTCTCGGTTACCCTGTGAGTTTTGGGCTTAGGTCCAGTAGGTACGTGGTGGTCGACTGGACGTTCCTTACGCTTCAGTGTCTTAAGCATATATGAAGGATGGCTCGGGATAAATACTGTAGGCGGATAAGTTTTAACTTGCGTTCCTTCAGACGATGGAAACATGCTATCTTTTTCAGCTTGTGACTCATGCAGGCGTTTACGCCATTTTCGATTAAAGGCTTTTAAATAGTCTTGATTATCGAAAGCATCTGAAGTCAACTCAGCTATTGTACCGTCTATAAAGCGTGTACGATAGTATGTATAGCCTCCCTTATCCGTTCTCCATATGATGTCTTTAAATTCAGAATGATCAAGAGGGGCATTAGAGTCATGTCTTCATGTGAGTATTATCTCTGTAGTCGGAATACGACTTGTGCCTATATTACGCGCACTAGAACCATCGGGGTTATTTACCTCGTACGTTCCACTTTTAGTGTCTGCTACAGAGATTATATATGGACCTATCCAATTAGATGTTAACTCTGTCACCGACCTGATACTCTGCTATCTTCTTGGTAGTGTTCCAACGCTTTTGCCTTTTTTATAAGGCTATATTGCGTATTTCTCGCAAGCAAGGATATACAACGATATAAATACGTTGTACCTTCTCTAACCATGGTAACTCATGGTGATCAGATTCGTCCTTGTTAAAGGGGATTTGTAACGCACTATATCTGCCACGAAAATAGTGAGCGGGTGTAGTTCCTGTAACCGGATCAGCACACTCGTTCATCTGTGTTTGTACCCACTTAAGGTGGTACGGCCAATCATCTGCATCATCCGTTAATGCAGTAAGCAAGAAGAACTTATATCTTCTATGGCGCGTTTCATTCGCGCCTTGCGTTTGCGGCTTATATGGCATACCTATCTTATGGCATATGCCTGATACAAGTACTAGCGATTCCATAACGTCATCGCAGAAATCACTACCGTTATCAGTGCACATAATACCCGGCCACCCGTGGTCAACAAGGACTTGGAAACATAATTCTGCCACGGTCTGCGTATTCTTATCCTTTAATGGATATAGCAAGTTAAACCGTGACGCCACATTAAAGAAGTGGCATACGTAACTGTCGCCTGTGTGCTCGGACGTGGGCAGGTCAACCAGATCAATTATGACCCTGCGCCATGGAACATCTTCAGTCACGCTCTTAAGCGGTGCGCACTCATAGCGCTTGATCTGATTGAGATCACAGTCTGTACATGACTGATATACTCTGTCAACTAAAGTTGCCAGCTTAGGATGCGCGATCTCATTTCGCTTAGCTTCTTTAAGTGCGTCTACTACGTTCTGGTGCTTCAGCTTATGATTTTGCGTCAGCCAAGCAAGAATGTTTTTATCATTCTGCTCCTCCAGAATAAAGGTAGGGTATTGAGAGTCCACTTGCGTGATTTCTAAGTCTGTAGTGTTTCCAGACGCCTGTTTTGCTTTTGCATGAGTGTCATTAGTGCGCTCATGTGCGTTAGATACACCTGACTTATTAAATAGTCGCATTATATGTGTATACGCTTCAGGATTGTCTTTCATTAACTCTTTTAGAAATAGGGATGAAAGACCTCGGGCTTGGACTTTATGTTATTAAACAGAGTCCTAGCTAGAGACTGACGCTTCTTAACAGTAGTGTCATTAGTAGATTGTATTTCTTGTCCACAGACTTCAAGTGCTGTGTTGCCTTTGAACTACTTAACGTTCAATTGGGTAGAGAGTGGAAATTCTTTGACCTTGTTAAGGAAGGTCTCAGAAGGGGTCCATTTGGTTGTTCCAATGGGACCTATACGACATATTATAGTATGTCTCCAGGGCGTCTTCTGAACGGCTCGGCTATCCTGATATAGGAAAGTATCTACTTCCCAATCTAAATATATTGGCTCGCATTGTATCATGCCTATTAATTTACTGAGCCATGGATCTTTACTCCGTAATGGGCAGCACAACGTGATGGTAGCTTTATGTATATGAACATAATTTAATAGCTGGGCAATTAACTGCCATGGTGGATTAGCCCACGCATTATGTTTGGAGAGGTCTATTTGAAAGGTGTCTCCCACAGGATGATTTAAAGTCCTGTAGTTCGATAGTTGTGCATTATGATGTGCAGCAAACATATCTATGGTATGTGGCCCAAATATTTTTTGAGCCAGTTCAAACCACCTAGGATTCCATTTCCAGTCAGTGGCTAGTAATTACGAAGCGTGATAGCATATCCGGTAAATCGATATGTATTCCTGGCAGATGTTTTACATCAAAATGAAACTTTGATATTGTATCATGCCAGCGACTCAGTATTTGTGAATCGGGTTTCATCTCTTTCATATATTGAAGTGATTTCTGATCACACATCAGCGTAAATGCTGTTCCGTATAAGAAATCACGGAAGTGTGTTAGAGCTGCCACTATGGCTAATAGCTCTTGTTTAACCCTTGGGTAATTCAACTGTGAAGCATTCATTGCTAGACTAAAGAATTGTATATATCTAGGTTTGCTATTAAGAGTACATTTATAATTTACGTACTGCTTAAGAGTACGTTTATAACATAGAGTCTAATGTGGAGGCCGGGCTATTACAATATTCATTATTTCGCAAACAGCCTGTTCCGGTATGGCTGAAAGGGAGATTAAGTTTTATAAAAATAAAGTGACAAAGACAAGAACCCGGCTTGGTAACATACGGAAGCATTACTATTCACCCACCGCGGCTAGCAAGTATTCTCGTCAATGCGAACAAGATATTGTAGACGCCGAGAAAGTAGATGGTATTGGTGAGTTGGATTTGTAATTAGATTACGATGCGGAGGTCGAAGTAGAAGAGCCGAGTAAGAAATAAAATCTTATGGTCACAACTACTGGATCTCAAATGGCATATCTAAAGAGCTACTTAATGGCCACGGAAGGAATGCCTAAAGAGTGTGGTACGTGGCATTCAAATACTACTGTCACTATTGATTGGAATGATATTAATACTGACATGTACAATGCTTGGTTGGACAAAATCAATACATCTGGAATATCTCTTCAACCTATACAAGAAGTCCTCCCCTGGGTTCAAGAACGAGAGCGCAAAATGCGAAGAATCACCATCAAGAACCAAACGTTTATGGAGAAGAAGTATTTATACTTAATATGTCGCTATAGTATCGAATTCATCCGTGGTCTGGTGCGGCATTGGCTTACCCCCATCCTCGCTTCTCGACCGGATTATGACGGATAACCTGGTCCTTCTCGGTATTTCATACTCTGCACTAACCCATTCCGCGCCACTACACGGCGCAGACCTGATCCGTACCACAGAGGTGGGTACTCTACATAGCAGGTCAGCAAGCGAATATATGGAACATTCGATAGTAACAGTATTTTGTCAACAACGGCCCGAATTGACTCGGCACATATCTTCCATTGTCGACTCACTTGGCCCAAGCTTCAAACGGGAATTTACTGACCACTTCTTCCCATCAATCTTTCCTGAACCACTACAGCGACTATGGGAGCCATTCCATATGTTCATACATTGTATCATACATACTTGCCATTTTTGAAAAAAATAAAATTATCCATATAGTATGCAAATCACGTCGGGTGAAACCATATAGTATGCTATTATAGATGAGATTGGCTGGCGTGCCAGGAAAGAGTATCACGCTAGACTAATTCCGTGTGATGAGAACAAGAGGTACAGAGATAATACGTACGAGATGGTAAAAATAGATGACAGCCTATGGAAGCGTATCGGACATGCCTATAAAGATCCTATAGCAGTGAAGATGTTCCCCACGGACAAAGTGATACTGATAAATTGTGCACCAACAGACTTTGATAGCTGTCAAAGTGATGATACGGATGTGGAGGAGCCTGTGAAAACCAAAGATACATCGGATTCGGACAGCAATATACAATACGAGTCCAACAACGACGGAAAGATAACAGACAACGAGAAGGAAATAGAGCCACAAGCAGATGTTGACATACCAGTTACAGAATCAGCAATTGTTGAGCCTGTGTCTGAGCCGGTAGAAACAGTACCGGCTGACAAAAGAGCAGAGCCTGAGCCGCCCCAAAACAGAGCCTGAGCCGACCAAAACAGTAGTGTCCAGCGAGTCTGAGCCGACCAAAACAGTAGTTTGCAGCGAGCCTAAGCCGACCAAAACAGTCCCTGAGCCTGAGGGAGATGTGGAGACGTTATCAGCAACCCCAGCAACCCCAGCAAGCAAAACGTCAAAAGCACGCAACAAGAGAACGACACCTAAAGCGAAACAGAAAGCAAAAAGAAGGAATACTAAGGCTCAGGCACTCCCATCACTTACACAATTGTTAGCACCACAAAATCCCTTTCAACACTCAACGGCACAGATACATTCAACACCCGCACACATACCTGGTATGAGTGATATCAACTCGCAAGCCAGGCGCAGAGACCGCACCATATTGGGCCACGTCCTTACTATCCTGGGCCTCACAATCAATATAATCATCATAATCAATACTATTAATTAAAATACTATGCGTTAATCAATAAAACTATTAATAAAAATACTATGAGTTAATCATCAATACAATTAACATAATATACGTATACAACTATATATATATATAAGTATGTATATTCACTGTCATTTTACTCACTGTCATTTTACGAGCCGAAGATATATGTGATATAATACACCACGCAATGAAGCCCGCCACCAACACCAATTATGAACGAGCCTAGAAAGATGAAGAAATTGGAGAGGGTCAATACTACATAATCAATTCTGTATCGCCAGACATAATGGCTACTCTCGGTGCAACTATGACTCCGAAAAAATAATATTTACAAAGCTATACCATAATTATGGTCACGTCGGAGAAGGAGACAAGATACGGATGAGACAAGAACTCGGGTAAATACGACAACAGGACAACGAGAACATGGATAAGTTTATTCTAAGACTCAACACGAAATTTGTTGAGGCCTTCAATATGAATTTCGTACTTAACGACACCGAGAAGATCATATTTTTAACCGGTGCTCTACATACAAATTAAATCTCTATAGTAACTCACCTGCTTACCGACAGTGCTATGGTACTAAGCTACGGAGCTGCCTTAGCATATGCACAACAGACTGCATTGGAAATTGAAGCCCGTGTTCTGAACACCAATGCAACATCGACTTCGGGCGCTGTCTTTACTGCCACTACTAACAGAAAATGTCACAAATGCAAAATTTATGGACACATCGCACAAAATTGTTGATTGCCATAATTCAGACAAAAATTCAATCCGAGAGGCCGAGGGAGATTAACAGGCCGAAGAGGCTACCACAGTCGAGGAAGATTTTTCGGACGAGGCAATTTCCAAATTTAGGACAAGGCTGCGGTTCTAATAGTAACAGCTAGAGGACTCAGCCATACTGGACACCCGACCAAAACTAACGCGGAGGATTCAACAGACGATTTGGAAATCGAGGACGAGGAGGATACAAAAATTATGGATTAAGAAACCGACAACAACACGCTAATTCTGCAATTGCTAATCCTAATTTTGCAGACAGTTTGCTAATAAGACTGCAAGCTAAATTTGACCAGAAAGATGCCGCAGTACAACAACAACAATATGTCAATTGGATACGGTCGGAATACGCGCATACACAAAAACCAAGCAGTACACATACAAGGTCCCAACAACCAGTAAATGCTTTTATGGTGAATGCTCATGCCAACCAGGTAGACACAGAATTCAACCCAAGACTGCCTCAAATGAGAGGTCCAGAAGGATATTGACTCGCCGTCGATTCATGTGCGACCAAGCATATATTGCCATATTCTTAAAAGACAGTCGCACTAAATTTACCGACAACCGCCAACAATACTTATACAGTGAAAAATGCTGATGAGACCTGTATTACACCAACTTGCTCTGCCGAATTCTTCGATCTTGGAATAGCCCTACTGGATGAGACATTCACGATTCCATTACTCAGCGTACGATTGATGACAGAACATGAGTATCTGTTTATATTTTCAGAAAAACACCTCGCCAGCACACCAAAGAATCGCGTTACACATTCAGATATTGCAAAATTTTCGAATTAAGATTCATGGCTATCCAGTATCAATCAAGAGTTGACCGCACTTGTCATCACCAAGCCAACACTCACCCTGGTTGACAGCAAGCCACCTTACAAGACAATTTTCAGTCCGAAATGGGTCTTTGTTGAGAAAAAGAACGACAAAGGCATTGTAGTCAGACTGAAGAGCTGATTGTCCATCGATGCCTGGTCCGCCGTTGAAGGAATTGACTATACTCGAAGCCATGCCCCAGTGGTCAACAAAGATACATTTAGAATATGTATGGCACTGTGTAAGATTCGGTCTATCAAGGCGATATTAACGCCTTAGAGTAATTAAACGCGTAGGTAAAGTCCAAGTATTGTGAAATTCAAAGTAAATAAACGAAATGAGTCTTTTAGTGAAGTTAGGTATGCCTCGTGAAAACAGCAATACTCTGAGGGATTTTGAGGCTGAGACATTGCCTATATATAATCCTCTCAGTACTGTTTCCGCCGAAGGGATTTTATTTAGTGTTTCGTTATCGCTCTATTAGAAACTATGGTATGTTTCATTGGGGCGAATCTGATAGACTCATAGAATCATATCTTAAAAAAAAAAGAAAAGAAAAAAAAGAAAAAAAACTCTTGATGTCCTTAGTTATTGCATTGACCAATAACTTGCCACTTATCAAGAATTATCGACTTAGCCTTCATCAGACTGGCACATCTGGTTGACTGAACGGAGGATAAACTAGGTAACGTTAATAGTCCCTAGAAACCTATCTTCGGTTGAGCCATCTGGCTACCGAAGTATTCAGATATAAATAAATTTGTAAAGTAAATATAGTTCTATTAATAGAACTAGACGAAATCTTATGTTTGGTATTTTACTTGGGCCTTTTTAATGGCCTTGTCCAAATATATGATATGTAAAATGGAAAAGTTATTAAATAATACACCCGATAAAAACCATTTAGGAAACTTAAGTTCCTCGTACTATTAAGAGTACGTTTATAGTTTACATTCTGCTTAAGAGTACGTTTATTACATAGAGGTGGAGGCCCGTCTATTACAACTGCTAACCCACACGAACATGACCGTCCGCCATTACGACACACCGAATGCTTACCTGAATAGCGACCCCGAGGAGCCAATATATATGCGTGTACCCAGAGGATATCATCTACTAAATCAACATTTTTCTCCTACTCAACAGGCATTACTGACACGATCACTAAAAGGAGACAAGACCGTCGTGTGCAAAGTATCAAAGGCTCTATTTGGTTTACCTCAATCCGGCGAGCTCTGGTATCAACAAATCAAGGTGCTTTGTATCAAGCAAGGTTACATTCCACTATATGAGGACAAAACTTTATTTGTCAAACGAACTTCAGCCGGACAACTATATTTACTATGTTTACTATTTGTACATGTGGGCGACAAAATTGTGATGTGTCAATCGATAGCAGATCCGGATGCAAGAACTCAGGCAATGAAGACACAATGGAACACTACAGATATGGGCGAGCCTAGCTGGTTTCTCAAACTCAAAATCAATCTAGACACACCGGGCAAAGTCAGCATACACCAGGGCCAATACACAATGGATCTACTTGAAGAATTTGACTTACTAGAATGCATTACATCTCGGGTCCCTTGCATTGAAACCGGTTACATTGCTACGGACAAAGATACACCTACTGACATCAAAGCTTCTCAATATATTGTAGGATGCTTACGATACTTGGCGGATGGCACAAGACCGGACATATCCTTTTCTGTGAACCTACTGGGACGTCATTTAGTCGCACCGATGGAACGCCACTTACAAGCCGCCAAGCGAGTTTTACGATACTTGTCAAGAACACGGGATTTGGGCATCACGCACAGTAAGGATATACCCTTCACACCTATTTTTTTCAGCTGACAGTGACTACTGTTCAAACTCAGAAAACACAAAATCTACTACAGGAAAGATTGGTATGATAGCAGGTGGACCCCTTTTATGGGGGACGAACTTACAGAAGACAACAACACTTTCGACAGCCGAAGCAGAATATGTCGCATGCTCAGATACAACACGAGACGCAGTATGGACACGGCACTTGCTTGAAGGAATTGGTCTACCGAAAGCACAGCCTACGATCATCGAACAAGACAACAAGTCATCGATCAAGATAAGTGAGAATTCAAAGTCCTCAGTGCGCACACGCCACATACAAATAGTCACAGGCGAAATCCGACTTCTATACACACCAACAACACACATTTTAAGCGATATGCTTACAAAACCCTTAGACCAGAAAAAGTTTGTATACGCTCGAGACTAAATAATGAGCAAGATGTCTGGCCTATTGGAGACATATACAACCGGCAACCACTGTATAGTAAACACAAGTGTAAATATATCAAGCCGTACATTAAAGAGCATTTAATATATTCGATATGAATGAAACAGTTACGATTATGCTCCGATGATATAGCACAGATTGCTCCTATTACAAATACTATGGTCATTCCACTTTTTTTGGGGATGCCCATTATAAAAGTGAAGTCTGTGTGTCTATTGACAATAGAAAAGCGCTATATAAATACAAACACAAGTGTAAAAGACAAGCAATAAGAAAATAATATAAGCACAAGTGTAAAAGGTAAGTAATATGAAAATAATACAAGAATCGGAGAGTACAGAAATAAGTATACAGTGTAAAAATCATATACCTCCTATCTTAAAGTCTTAAAGACGTTAACACATTATGAAAACCATATACTAATCGCTTGAACAAATTTGAGATATTCCAAGTCGAAAAAGACTTGATATTCTAAGTCTCAGACTATTCAAAATGCGATCCAACTCACGAGAATTCACAAAGACCTTTTCAGACAGTATTGTATTTGCAGGCGAAAATATTCGATCATTCATAATCTAAAACCCGGAAGTATTCGCATTGGCAAGTATTCCCAACGTTCAAGGGTCGAGAATTAATTTCAAAGACCGAAAAACTCATGTTAGTATTCACAAGTCAATTCAAAGGTCGAAAACTCATGACGAAAAAAAAGAATTCAAGAGTCGATTCAAAGGGCGAAAACTCATGAAAAGGCATCTATCGAAAAGTTTTTTCAAGTCAGGCAGACAGCAATCAATGATCTACGAGGAAGCAACCAAAAGATAGGTATATGTTAAGTCAAAAAGTACAAGGCAAATGTTGTTTTTCATCATTTTATTGTTGAAGTACTATTCTATTATTACAGTGTTTTTATTTAATCAGACTTCAGAACAACTACTGTACAAGTGAAAATTACAATTGAAACGAAGTTCTTTATGCACTTGAATAGTTGGATGCATTTAACAAAGAAATCTTGCATATACGGTAAAACTGTATAATTAGATATAACGCTGGACTAACACCCACCAATCATTTCAGTTAAGTGAATGGTATACTATAAGCGTACATAACAGGCCACCAAGTATTATGTCGATTGTTCGGGATGAAATATTTCTTGGTCTAAATGCCTTGAGCAGGCACCACAATAAAGCACTTATTCAAAGCTTTTATAATTGACAGTCTATCAGTCTGTCTGTGTGAAGACTGTGAGTTGTGAGTTGTGGAGAGGTATTTCTTCTACACCAATGGAAATTGATTACGGCCACACGCTCTATGGAAACGAAAACTGATGCACAGAAATAAATTATAAATATTTGAAATGATCTGTTTTACTCGTGTGGGAGTGACACGGAGTTGAGTTGAGTCCTCTATTTACATTTTGTCAGTCGTGAGTTGCATGTATGAGCCTACAAGGGTTCAGGTTTATTGTTTTATAAAAAAAAGTTTTGAAGTGTCTGTATCACTCTGTACTCTGTAGTTTTTACTCTATACATACATTCACACTGTACTGTGTACACTGTACACTGTACAGTGCACAGTTAAATAACATGCGAATAGGTGTATGCTTTTGACTTTTCTTGTATTTCTGTGTGGTGTGTAGAGTGTAGAGTGTGGAATGTGGAGCATAGCATCCTAAAATAATTACATTTAGGAGGCTAAACGACAACGTGGAATGGAGAGTGTGGACAGCAGTCAGCAAGAAAAGATTTCTCAAATTTTCAAGATTTATGTACGTATAAAATCGTTTCGATGATACAACTAAATGTCATATTCATCACAGATACATCTCAAGTTCTCAACTATTTTTTAGATTAGAACACCAACTCTTTCAAAATGAACGAATACCAAAATGAGAAGAAGGATGGAGAGGTGAGCATTGGCATCGCCTCCGGCGATTCCGTTCATGTCGGGCAGGAGGATTCTGACTCGTCGAAAGGAAATGTAGTTGTATCTGAGGATGTGTGGAATCATGTTTTCGTTGATTCGGGCATGAAATTGGGAGACATGAATGGCAAACAAAAACTTTGGACGTCAATTTACATGTTCTTGAAACTAGTTGTCGTGTTAACCGCGCTGTATGTATTTATCATCTCTCTGGATCTACTTGGATCAGCCTTCCAAGTCCTGGGCGGTACACAAGCTGGTATGGTTTTCCGCCAATCAGACGTATTCAATAATCCCATTGCCGGCCTTGTAGTCGGTATCTTGACCACCGTGCTCGTGCAGAGTTCCAGTACTTCGACCAGTATCATCATTTCTATGACAGCATCTGGTCTTTTGCAAGTTGACCAGGCTGTTTACATGATCATGGGATGTAACATCGGCACATCTGTTACAAACACAATCGTCTCTATGGGTCAGATTGGGGAGGTGAATCAATTTAGACGCGCTTTTGCTGGTGCAACTGTCCATGATATGTTTAATTTCTTGTCAGTATTGATCATGCTGCCCCTGGAGGCGGCCACACAAGTGCTTGAGAAAATTTCAGTATCCACTGTTGAATCTATGGGAACTATCGAAGGAGCTGATGATCTGAATTTCCTTAAAACGATCACCAAACCGGTCACCAACCGAATTATCCGGGTGAACAAGAATCTTATCGAGAGTATCGCCGCAGCACCAACTGAAGAGGAAGTAGACGCACTATCAGGTCAATCTATGGTGTCCTGGAAGTACTGCCCGGACGATTCCACATGGTTTGTGTATTGCCCTCAAGAGAATAGCTGGTCAGATGTGGCGGTTGGTGCCACACTGCTTTTTTGGGCCCTGATCCAAATGATGGTTTGTCTGTATGTACTCGTAAAGGTTCTACAATCCATCTTCAACGGTCCTCTATCTAAAGTGCTGTTTAAGGCTATCAATCTCTCATTCCCCGGTAGATGGGACGTGTTGTCAGGCTACGTACTTATCCTCGTGGGAGCTGTTCTCACGGTGCTTGTCCAGTCTTCGTCTATTACCACTTCAACACTCACACCCCTGGTGGGTCTAGGTGCTTTGAAGCTGGAGAAAATGTTCCCCGTCACACTTGGAGCCAATATTGGTACGACAATCACTGGGATGTTGTCAGCTCTGTCGTCCCCAGATGTCTCAGCAGGACTCGTCCTGGCTTTTACACACGTCTACTTCAACCTTTTCGGTATTGCCATTTGGTATCCCATTCCTTTTATGCGGAGCATCCCCTTGGCGATGGCTCGCGGTATGGGAAATATCACTGCCCACCACAGATGGTTTGCCGTTTTCTATATCATTGTTGCCTTCTTCCTCATTCCATTGGGGTTGCTTGGGCTATCATTAGCCGGTTGGCAGGTAATGGTTGGCGTATTAGTGCCCATTTGCCTGATAATCGTGTTCTTTGTGTTTGTTTTTCAACTGCGCAAGCACAAACCCGAATGGCTGCCAAGCTGGCTATTGTCTTTCGATTGGATGCCAGAGTGGATGCACACAGAGCCTGCATGGTTGCAGAGGTATCATTCTAAGATGGAGGCCAGAACGGCTGCTAAGGACGCGAGGAGAGCAGTCAAGGAAGCTACTGAGGCACCCAAGAAGACCCTCAATGAGAAAATGTTGGACAGATTAGGCAACGGCAAGCATGATCAGCTAGAAATTGAATCAGATGATGAAGAAGTGGACAATCGAACAGACATGAAACCAACTGAGAAAATCGGTCATGCGAACGCAAGCAAGGAGGACCTTTTAAGTGTTGTCTAAATTTTGGAGGACCTGCAAACAAGGCATCGCTCTTCAATAGTTATAAGTTCTATGTTTAAACAATAAATTAGAAGAATATCATTTACTACTAGTAATATGTCGTCACCTTCATGGTCTGCTATTTGTATTTGGCTCCGGAAACTAAACAATATAGTAGCTACAGACAGACATACAAGCATAGATTGGTCAGTACTAAGCATATGTATAGAACCAACATGGGTATTTGTAGCATCAGCAAACTCGAAACTGATGGCGGTGGCCCGTGGCCCCATTCATGTATATGTCAAGTACGTGAAATAACCTGTTAGCGCTACTACGCTGAAGGTCATGGCGTGCACCTCTGCTGCGGCGCGACTCTTCAGATGGCGTTTTCTACTGTAAAGCAAAAATAAACAAAGCACAACCGCCAGGGCTGTGGCCCATTTATTAGAGCATACGGAGACGCCCCCGTAGTATCGAATAGGAAGACGCCCGGCTCTCAGACACTCTGCATTGGGATGAAAGTTTAATAGTATACAATTATTCCCGCGTAAAGATACGTTTAGCCTTATTTAAAAGTCTGTCAAGTCTTTGAAAACCAGTGATTAATGTGGTTCGTGTGTGTGTTGTGTGTGTGTTTGTGTGTGTATGTGTACACACGTGTGTAGGCGTTTGTATTGGTGAGCGTGTGTTAGTGTGGTTGGACGCGTGTGTATGTATGAGTGTTTGTGAATGAGTGAGTGTATACGATTGCGTATACACGAGTGGGCGTGTATGATTGAGCGTGTGTGCATGAGCAATAGTATGTATGTGTGTGTATGTGTTGAGTGAACGTTTGCGAGTGTGTTGGTATGAGTGGATGTGTGTGTGGATGTGTGTGAATGTGTGTGTGAGTGGGTGCATGGATGTGTGCTATGAGAGTTCGTGTGTGAGGAGAGAGAGAGAGTGTGTGTGTTGGTATGAGTGGATGTGTGTGTGTGGATGTGTGTGAATGTGTGTGTGAGTGGGTGCAGGGATGTGTGCTATGAGAGTTCGTGTGTGAGGAGAGAGAGAGAGAGAGTGTGTGTGTGAGGAGAGAGAGAGAGTGTGTGTGTGTGTGAGGAATGTGTGTGAGAGCGCGTGTGCGAGAGTTTGTGAGTTTGTGAGTGTGAGTTGTTGGGTGTTTGCGTGAGTGACGTGTGAGTTAGAGTGTGTGTGTGTTTGAGTTGCACCAGAACACCCCTTTCTCGCACGTATCGCCACTGTCGTGCCCATCTCCACTTTTGTGTGCACTTAAGTCCGTGACGTTTGGTTTAATATCGCTCAAACGACTATTCGATCATAAATTGTCATGAATTAAGTTGAGTATGCCTGGGAACCATGGCAATAAGCTGATACAAGCACGCTCGCAAAATTAGCACTGTTGGTTGTAAATTTATTGGGCACTGTTCTAACGCTAGAGTAAACCACAGACCTATTTTTTTTCGCATGTCTGCGCTGATCATTTAAGGCTACTTTCCTATTGCCCACGTTTAGGCGAGGTATTATCTCATGTGCAATTTGTTTATGATCTATACCAATGTCATCGACATCCGGTCTACCCCAGTAAGCAGCCGTGCTCCATGTCTCGGTTCTTATCGGAATATCACAATAGGACATCGAGGTTTCGATGAAATGAGTATAGTTTATCCAAATGTACATTTGAAGGAATCTTTATAGGGACGGTTGTCTAATGAGACCAACGAGTCCATCGTGATGATAGTAATCCTAGCAATTTGTCGACGGCAGAAGGGCATCCAGTAGGTTATTGGCGCTCTTATCCCGTCCCTGTACCCCCATACTATTCCATGCCGTGAACGGTACGCAAGTATACCTCCCACACTTCTAAAACCTCGGATAAATACAGACAGGCTTACCATGTACGTATAGTCGTCAATCTTTCACCGTGTGATGTGCTTGTGACATGTTGTTTAATGTTGATCGTAATGAAGTGAGTCACCGTGACTACGTTGATTAGATAAAAATAAACAACCCAGCTAGCCCAATACAAATCGGCCAAACAGAACCCAACTTTAAAATATATTTCCTGCTGTGTTACTATATTAATTTTCTATTTACTTTACACGCAGATCCAAAAGTATTTGTTTGCCACACCTTTCATAGGATTCTCTGGTGTTACTTTCGGAAGGCGATTCACATTTAAGCCTCTTGCTCCAGCTTACAAAAGCTTCAGTCAACATACACAAACAAACAAACAAACAAACAATATGGATTTGAATCAAATTCTTCTCATCGTCCTCGCGATCTTCCTGCCTCCTGTAGCAGTTGTAAGTCGTGTCCCTGCCGCTTGCATCTAATTTGAATAGTACCTCTCAATATATATCCTGGTTATATTAACAGCAGTGCGATTGTGCATGCACAAGTTTTCTGTGGCTGTAGCTCTATGTAGAATCTTTACATTCGAAACGTGCGGCTCAAGTGTTATAGGTCTCTCACATCGCCACCTAGATTTGGAATTACCCCCGTCGTGCTGGTTGACGTTGTAAATATTTCCAGGCGCAATTCAGAACTGCGCTTGGGGTTCGTTGTCAGCAGAAGCCGGGTGCACTAACCTTGTTAATCAATTGTGTCGACTTCTTCAATAACCTGTTAGGCCACTTCGTAAATTGTGCGTCGTTTGAGTATATGCCACAATTCGGACTTGCTCCTACTAACACGCGATCTTTCTCTATTGGCTTACAGCTCATGCATGAAGGCTGCAATGGAACCTTTGCGCTAAACTGTCTGTTCTGTCTCCTGGCCTGGCTTCCTGTAAGTACAGTTTATCCGGATTGCATACTTCCTATGTATTCTTATCTTCGTATATTATTCGTGATCCGATACTTAGTCAAGCTGACGTTTTCGAGTCCCATATATAGTAACGTGCACGTGGTTGAATATAGTATTCAGGAATTTGAGCCACTCGCTGCTGGTCGCGGTAACTGTATAAATGTGCTCGCTCTTAAGTTTTCGGTGTTTGTGCTCATGTTTACAATTTTGTCATTCGCACGTGCCTTCTTAGAGGCAGACTATCCTCTGCAATATGCATGATGATACATAGATTGGCTACGTTTATCAGACAGTTGCCTAGTCTGACCTGCGATAGCTTATAATAG